CCAGATACACAAAGCCAAGAAAAATAAAAGCAGGACATATTCTTAGCTGACTGAGAAACCAATAATCCCTGAGACTCTCAAGTAAAGGTGAGTCACAGTACTGGATGGACAGCACTAGACAGAATCGCCCTCTCTCTGAAAACTTTTCATATATTGCCATATTAGTTGCCAGACAGGTTGTTTAGATTATATATTCCCATCAAAAGGGACTGAGTTTTATATAGTAAAGATTAGAGAAGCTAATGAAGTGGATTTAGACCTTAATATTCTGAGCTTTTACAGCCAAACAGGCTTCAAATAGGTGAGTAACTTTTCCTGACGAGCACAGATTTTGAAGCCAAATAGCTAGGGTTTTACCATTTATACTGTAGTAGTGATGGCATCAAATAAGCAAATAGTTTTAAGGGGTAAGTGCAAGTATGAGAGATTTCAATGTGTGGTCAACTGAGCTGAGAGTTGACTTCATAAAGAAAAAATTTGCTTCAGTTACCATACAACGATTAAGTTGTGGTTATTTGTAGTCATGAAAAGACAAATTAATGCATGGAGAAATAGTATCCATCCTTTGCTTCCTTCCTTCCTTCCTTCATCTATTCATTCAACAAACATTATGGAGCGCCTATTGTAAACCAGGCACTGTTCAGGTGCTAGGGATACAGTAATAAATAAGAAAAAAGCTTTCCCTTCATGGAATGTACCTTAGAAGCATCTCAGGTATATTAAACTGAACTTAGAATGTATGAGGTGTGATTAAAAAAAAATACGGTGAATGTTTAAATAAAAAAAATTGTTACAGTAAAAGACGTATTGCCATTAATCCCCCTCAAAATACTCCCTCTCACTTTGAACACACTTATCCCATTGTTCTTGCCACTTTCTGAAGCAGTTCTGGAAGTCCTCTTTCGTGAGTGTCATTATTTCATCTTCCATCATGACAGCGCTCCATGTCACACATCGCTTCTGGTATACAGCAATTTCTATCAAATAAAAACATTATGGTGTGTCCTCATCCACCTTATTCACCGGATCTGGAACCATGCGACTTCTGGCTCTTCCCCAAAGTCAAAATGATTCAGGAGATCGAGGCAGCCATGACTGTGCAACTAAAGACATTCACAAAAGAGGACTTCCAGAACTGCTTCAGAAAGTGGCAAGAATGATGGGATAAGTGTGTCTGAAGCGAGGGGGAGTATTTTGAGGGGGATTAATGGCAATGTGTCTTTTACTGTAATAAATGTTTTTTTTGTTTTTTTCCCCCTCATTTAAACATTCACCGTATTTTGTGATCACACCTTGTATGTATGTTAATCTGCACAGTGATGTGCATTCACTCACAAAAGGGTGAGGACAACTGAAGCAATTACCTGGATAAACAGAACTGTAAAAGTCAGGTACTGTAGAGATTATGAGCTGGCTTTCTCCTGAATTTTCAGTATAATTGCCTCAGTTCTCCGTTTAGCCTTGCCAGTAGAACTGTCTAAGAATTGCCTAAGAATGTTCACAGCCACTTTGGAGGAATTTAGAGATCTAGAGATAAAAGGAGCTGGTGTGTGTGTGTGTGTGTGTGTGTGTGTGTGTGTGTGTGTGTGTGTGTGTGTGTGTGTAACTGTAATGTAGTATTACTAAAGATGAAATGTTTTTGTAATTTATAATGTTTATAATTATACGTTAGGATTACACACAATGATTTTCCCAGTGATTTATTCCATGTGTTACTTCTTTACCTTTCCAATATTACTACTATGTAGGGGGCAATTATTAGTCCCTCGATTTTTCAGGTAGGGAAATGGAGATACTCAGTGAATGACTTGTTTAAATCATAACTCTTTATCAGGTTTATCAGAAAGTCTGATTACAGGTTATACCTGCAATTATACCAATTATACTTGCAAACTTTTCCCAGCTCTCTGGTTCAGGCTTTCACATGAACCAGGGGTATGACCTTACACACATTCATTTAACCTCTTTATATTTTGGCTTCTTCATTTGGAATATGAGGCAATGGACTAGATTCAGACTCAACTAACTGTCAACAGGCACCTATTCTGTGCAAATCATGTGTTATGTGCTTTCTATGTTAGCACACTAAATTGAATTAAATTTTAAATTAAATTTAAATTAAACCTCACAACAAATGAAGAAACATAAGCACCAACACATTAAGTCACTTGCCTAAGGCAACCCAGTTAAAGATTGAGTGTATTAATATAGATNGGGAGGCGGCCCCGGCGCCGCGGCTCTGCCCGCGGGCTGCAAGCACGACGGCCGGCCCCGCGCGGCCGGCAGGGCGACGAGTGCCGCGGAGGGCAAGGTGGTGTGCAGCAGCCTGGAGCTCGCACAGGTCCTGCCCCCGGACACGCTGCCCAACCGCACGGTCACCCTGTGAGTAGCCCTCGCGCCCTGCGTCTCCTCCGGCGCTTTCTGGTCTCCGCCTCTCCGCCGCTTTGGAGAGGGGTCCTGCGGGCACCCACGCGCCTTTGTGTGAACGAAGCTGCAGGCGGGAGGGGGCCCCCTGGGGGAGCGGGCCTGGCTTGGGCGCATTTCTGGGGGGAGGCAAGGGAATCGGCCTCCGAGCCGCTTTCCACCTCCGCTAGTTTGCAAAGTAAAAGTTTTCGGGTTCACCCGCGCGCCCCGCGCTGTCCGGGCGCGGCGCTTCTGTCGCTGCGCGGTGCCACGTGAGGATGCGAGTAAACACGCATTCGGCGGAGTCACAGCTCATTCATCCTGTGCCCGGGCTTCCAGAAAACGGCGCTCCAGTCCAAGCGCCAGGCCTTCGGCTTTGTGCCCGTTAAGTTACACTCGGAGGCGAGTTTGCAGCGTATCAAACTCAAGGAGCTTGAACGCCCCTGTGGTGTGACCCCCCCCCCAGCCCCCAGACTGTTGCCTTGCCTTTTGCTATGGTTTTATGATCGTTTAAGAGCACCTTTCAAAATGGAGTTGTTATTTAAGGTTAGATACAGAATAGACGAAGAAGCCGTGCACCTTCTAGCCCTGTTTTCTTGGGTGTGAGAGGTCAGATTTAAAAGCCAAGAACTTCGGGGTTGCAGACTGTGGGTTTGTTAGCCTTCGGCTCGAGGGACTTGGTTTTCAGATGGAGTTGCCACCTGGAAGGAAAAGTTTTTGGGCTCCTAACTCAGTTTGTGCCGAGATGCAGGGTCCAGTTTTGCAGGCGTGGTCCTGCCGATTCCAGTCGAACGGTTGGCCCCCATGACTCTTGATTTTATTTTCGGAACCTTGAATTGGTGTGGAAAAGTTCCAAAGTGTTTCTGATGGACATTCTGTCGAAGTGAAATTTGAGCCCCACAGCTCTGTGTTCCACGATGTTGAAAAGAAGGAACGCTGCCACTAGAAAAACATGAAGGCAAGCGGGGAAGCATGACCCATGAAAAAACTTAAAATATGGCTTTTAATTTAACCCAAATTAGGCAGGATATAAGGGTAAGGCAAGTATAAATCTCATTACTAACACCTTTGCTCTTAATTTCCATTTGTTTAAATCTGGAAAAGTTTTACCCGGCGGGAGGGGGGGCGGGTAGAGGGTAGAGAGAAGAGAGAGAGATGTGTTTATGGAAGCATGAAAATGGGTAAAGTAGTTTTTGTTTTGTTTGACTCCTTTACAAACACTTGACCATTTGGTAGTGGCAACAGCTGTATGTATTTATTTCTTAGCCAGAGTCTTTGAAGTGGAAATTTGGGCTATGGGACCTTAATTACAGTCTTGAGAAAAGGGGAGAAAAACCCCAGTGTTGGGCATACCTCTTATTACTCTGCAGAAATTAGTCATCATACATTGGGGTTCTGGATCAGTGGCACTTAAGCCGATTCAAGTTTAGGTGGACTTTTTCCAAATGCCAGCAGTTCCAGCTGGATCAGATAAACTACCTGTAAATTGTTGATGTTGCTTTGAAGAAATAAAAAAAGGTGATGTTGTCAAGAATCACTTTTCAGCATATTATCAGTTAAACTGTTCCTGAATTTTTCATGAGCTGATTAAAACGTAAGTGCCTTTGAAATGCCATTTTAATCCAATTATTTTGCACCTGAAAGTTCTTTGGATGAAAATGAAATTAATAAAATCTGTTTAGTGAATGTGAAGAAATTGTGATTTGTTTAAGGATCAAATAAAGCTGATGTTCTAGATGAAACGGGTTTAAGGTGTATTGGATCCGGTAGAGAACCTCCTGGTCCAGTGCTCTCATTTCATTAGAGAATGGATCAGAGGGTCCCTGTGGGTGACTTACCCAGGTTCTCACAGTGAATGAACAGTGGGGGTCCATGTCCCACATTCTTCTCCTACAGTTTAGGTGCTTCTCACCGTTCCCCGCTTGTCTTCATTTTTCTTCTTAGTTCCACACAGTTTCTGTTGGTTCCCTAGGTGGGAGGCAGCATGTTGAAGTTTGGATGATGTGTTAGTTTCTTAGGGCTGCTGCAAATTACCACAATGTTGCTGGCTTAAAACAAATTTCTTCTCTCACAGTTCTGGAGTCCAGAAATCTGAAATCAAGATGTCAGCAGGGCCAGGATCCTTCCGCAAGGCTCTAGGGGAGATCCATCTTTGCTTTTTCTAGCTTCTGACCTTCCTCGGATTATGGCAACCCAACTCCAACCTCTGCTCCTGTCCTCACAGCCTTCTTCCGCATGTGTCTCACTGTCTAAAGCACTCTCTCCTATAAGGATACCAGTTATTAAATTTAGGGTCCACCCTAAATCCAGGACGATCTCGTCTCAAGATTCGTAACTTAATTACATCTGCAAAGACCCTATTTCTAAATAAGGTCACTTTTAAAGGCACCAGGAGTTAAGACTTGGACATAGCTTTTTGGGGTACACTATTCAAGTCACTGCAGAATGTAAATATAAACGTGGTCTTTCTTCACCAGGAACTTGGGGCGGTATTTGGAGAGAAAAAAAAATCATGAATAAGTCTCAGGACAGTTTGGTCAGTGCTCTAGTACTGGGGTATGCATGTAGTGAAAGGAACCCAGAAAAAGGCAACCAGGACCCCGTTGGGGCCACAGTTGGTGAGATTGAGGAACTGAAGATCCTGAGCCAATTTGAAAAGGATGAGAAAGATAACTGTAAAGGAAATAGTAAGGGGAGGAAATGAGATGAAAGGTGGTGGGACCCCAGTATGACCCCACTTGGAGAGGGCAGTGTCACTTGCATTGCTATGCAGGTGATGTTGCTGGAATGCCAGTGGCAGTGTCCACTGCCCACAGTGGTCAGAGGGGAGGCTGTGGGGCCAAGTGAACAACAGCCAGGCTCTCTGGTTTGAGTTTTAATCTTTTAGGTGTGGCCAACTGTTTAGCCGATCCGCGATACGGCTGCCGCTTGGAGATCTGGTGGGGGTTGAGAAGATGGCAAGGATAAGATAGAATTCTTTCTTCTTTTTTTAATAATGCAAAATAAGGCTTTTTCTACTTAGTGGATGAACTGGACTTAAACGTAGCCTAAAGCTCAGAACCTTCAACTGCCTAAGTGCACAACACGCATTTCCAAAGCTCTCAGAAATTCTTGGCGTGACCGCACTTGTTCCCTGTATCTCCTGTAGTCTTTTGTATTAAAGGATTAAGCTACATTTAGTATTTTTGCGCACACATTGAATAACAATGTAACCACATTTCATGTTTTTTGTTAGGGATGTAAATAATTTAAATTTCCATGTTTTATGTGAAATGCTGTTCAGTGATAGAAAGTTTTACAAATGTAGTCCTTTTCTAGATGGCAGGGTTTTCCTCATGCTGTTACATGGTGATTCTAGACAAAGGTCTCTGTTTTTTTAATGATCTGTTAAGTCTCGTAAGGACAAAGCAGATTTTTCTGAGACTGTTTAATGGACTAAAATAGTGCATGAGGTTTTTTTTTTTTTCCTAAAATGTTATGTTTGTTTACTATCCAAAACTGATAATTGGACATTGTCAGTGTGTCCAGCTCAGTGCCAGGTACACAAAAAGGAATGCTTGTATTGTTCAGAAACATAACCTAATTGGGGAGAAAGGACTTGCACAAAAGAAGCAGACATTTAGGGAACAATTACAGAATGCCTATAATTAAGTAATAAATCCTGTACTGCTGACTGCTTAAATGCTTTAGGAAGCCTGGGAAGAGGAGAGATCAGTGGGGCTGTGAGGCACTGGAAGATGTTTCCTTTTCCTGGAGGACTGCAGGAGTTACCCTGAGGGGGCGTGACCATGGACTGGCCCAACCGAACGGGAAAGATGGTTTCCAGAACCGTTGGTGTAACATGGGGCTGGGTGAGGACATTTAGAGGAGAGTGTACAGCCCGGAGCAGGAGACCGCCCGGGCAGAAGTGTGCTGGAGCAGCGGGGGGCCCCAGACGGAGCAGATGGGAAGGTGGGGGGAGCAGCCTGGGTGCATCTGATCAGAGGAGCCAAGAGGGGCTCAGGTTTGACGGCAAGAATGGGCGCCCCAGTTGAGAGATGCTGAGAGAGAGGTCTAGGCAGTAAGACCAAGGAGCTGACCACTGGGTTTGACAGCCTGGGGCTTTGGTGCCCTCCGTGAGCTGTATCCATGGACCAGCGGCCATAGAGGGCAGACTGGGTGGCTTGAAGGGAGAACAAGGTGAGGATGGTGGGAATAGCACCTAGATGAGGAAGCACTTTGGTGGAAGGGAAGGTTCCTCAGGAAGGGATGAGAGTGTGGGAGCGTGGCTGAAGATGGTTGGGAATAGTTCAGGCGAGGGAGAAATGCATGGCGGGAGTGAGATGGGCACGGTGAAGGGGTTTGGCTCTTGATGGCAGCAGGGATGGTTCATCCCCCCATAGAGGGGGGGAAAAGTGGGGAGCGTGGGCGGAAAGGCAGGTGAGAGGACAGTGGGAGCGCAGGTGCCCCATTGCTGTTATTTCCTGGAAGATGCAGAGGCTGGGTGGGGAGCAACAGGAAAGAGTGAGCAGAGGTGTGAAGGGTAAGGTGGCAGGTGTGAAGCCGGCCTTTTGGAAACTGGAAAAGTGAACAGGCTGAGGTTGCAGGAATGTCAGTGGGGCGGAGTCCTGTCCGTTTGTGATCCCAGTGAAAGGGAGGCGGTCAGTACAGGTATTTCTCTCCAGCTGCATTCAGCCTAGAGATGCAAATAGTTGGGATTAACCAGTCTGCTGCTTTGCCAGGTGAGTGTAACAGGGAGAGAGGAGCAAGGTGATTTTCATAAATAGCCCGGCTAGCTGCTGTGGCCTGAATTCTGTAGGTCAAGGGTAAAGTTTTTATCTTTGAATTCAGGGTCTCACATACCTCTGTTGCCATATTTCCTAATACTCAGCACAAATAATTTGTTCTTTCCATGCACATTGATTGACGTGCTATTATGTTATAGGCTGAGTGCCAGAGGTCCGGGGGTAGGAAGACAGAGTTCTTTCATCCAAGCTTCA